TGGTCCCGCTGGGACACCCCCCGCCTCCTCCGGTGACACCCTTCAAGGTCACCCCGGGCCAGGGGAGGGCTGGGCTCGGCGCCCTCAGGGTGGGTGGAAACGTGGGAAACGGTCAAATCCCCCCGGGCCCGGGCTCCCCAGGGCCTTTTCCTGACATGGCCGGGTGCTGGGCCTCCCCCCGCGCCCTTCTCCTGGCGTTCGGAAGGGGGGTTCGCTGGCAGCACGGCCAAGTCCTCAGTGCACCAGCCTGCTTTTGTGTTTTGGTGGGGTTTCAGGGATTTTTTGGGGGGATGGCACGTTCTGGGCCATGTATTCCCTCCACAGATCTTTCTGGAAACGTGTGGGTTTGAGGACAGTAAACTTAGTCTCATTCTGTCTGAGGTGAGGCTGCAGAGTCGCAGTGACTCATGGTGGGGTGCTGGGAGCCCACTGCCGTGACTCAGGACCCCTCTGGGGTACACACGCGTTAATCTTTTCAGAACTCTGCCTCAACAGTGTGGCATTTTCTGAGGCCCTGAAGCTTGCAGGTCGCTGAGCCTGAGCAAATCCCGTTCTGTCTCCCCACCAGGAACGTGGTTTCTTTTTTTTTTTTTTTTAGCCTAGAATAAGAGACCTGCAGCTTGGGTCTGTTTGCTTCACCCTTCACAAGGTAGATTTATGGGTTTGGCATTTACGATCTGGTTCTTGTCATCAGGGGAATGGCTTGTGGATTCTTCCTGCCTTGTGTGGGAGATACAAGCTTTTGCAACACGTGTAATCCGGCTCTCAGGTGTTGGGAGTGCGTGAAACAGCACTGGTAGGAAAGGAGGCTGCTCTTAAAAAAACAGAGACCCGCAGTTCCCTCGGGCTCACCTTGCTGGTGGAGCAGGCGTAATCCTGAGGCAGAGCGGGATGTGTGGGCTGGAGACAGCCGCGGGATGTGGTTTCTCCCCTGGTGACTCAGTGGTGTGCCATGGTGTGTGCAACGTGTCCCCAGCACCATCCATCCAGCTATTACCCCGTATTCCTGCAATAAACCTGCCCCCATGGGCGGTCGCAGTGGAGGGAACAGCGTCTTTGCCCCTGCATGCTGTGAGCCTGACAGTGGCTGTGATTCTTCTAGCAGTGCAGCGGCTGCAGGTCAAAGCCAAGAATGAGCGAGATGCACCGAGGGAGAGCGTGTGGGCTGGCACCCAGTGGGTTTGTCAGTGGCGGGGTGGACAGGGAGGTCGCTGTGGGCTGCCCTGGCTCTAACCCAGCTCTGCTTGGTTTCTCATCACTGTGAGACAAGTGCAAGCAGGGAGAGAGAGTTAGCCAGGGCTGTTCAGAGATGGACTTGTCAAGCGTGATTGCAGTGGGAGAATCCTGAAAGATTGACCCCAAAGCCAAACTCCAGCAGGAGAGCTGGGATGGGTCTGCTCTGGAAACTGCCCCTGCCTGGCTATGCAGAACCTCTGTGCAGGCCAGTTCGAAGGGAGCTGAGAGCCCAGCCTGGCAGAAGTGAAGCTGGTCCCATTCACTTGTCAGTTGTGCACTGTAACACTGTTTTTTAACCAGTTCTGTGGCACTTCCCTGGTTGAGTGGAGCTCACTGAAACAGTGTGGTGCTTGGAAGCTGTGGATGAACAGGCAGGATTTTTGTAGCCGGGCCACGTCAACAGCACCAAGGGCTCTGTTTGTTCTGGGCTGTGATGGGGAGCAGGGGAAGTGGACAAACCTCCTCTAATTGCCCTCTGAATGGCTCTGTTTCTGCCCCCAGAGAGGAAACGGTTTTACCAGAACGTGAGCATCTCGCAAGGAGAAGGTGAGTACCACCGCTGGGATGGGATGGAGGGGCTGGTGCCCATGACAGGTGTTGCCACCTTACGCTTCTTCGGTGAGAGCGTGGCACACCCACAACCCAGACTGTGCGAGCTGGGTATTTGTCACCAGCCTGCTGTGCCCTTTCCTCATCTATAGTGAAGCTGTGTGGTGGGAAACAGCTTCCAAGACCATTTGGGGAAAAATTATGCCTAAGTGAGAGCAATGGTGCAAAACTCCAGTGTCCCTGGTCCCGTGCTCCCGTCAGCTCCAGCTCTGAATCTGCTCCCACTGTGGGGTTGTCGTGGTTTAACCCGGCTGGCAACTCAGCACCACGCAGCCGCTCGCTCACTCCCCCCTCCCTCAGTGGGGTGGGGGAGAGAATCGGAAAGAAAATAAAAGGTTAGAGCCGAGGGCTGAGATAAAGACAGTTTAATAAGAGAAAATAATAATAATAATAATAATAATGAGGATGATAACAGAATATACAGAATATACAAAACGAATGAGGCACAAGGCAATTGCTCACCACCCACCGACCGATGCCCAGCCCGTCCCGAGTGGTCAGTTTGGGTTAGCTGTGCTAGCTGTGCTGTACTCCCAGCTTGTTATGCACCTGGGCAAGCAGGAGAAGCTCAAAAAGTCCTTGAGTAGTCTGAGCACTACTTGGCAACAGCTGAAAACATCAGTGTGTTATCAACATTCTTCTGGTACTAAATCCAAAACACAGCACTATGCTAGCTACTATGAAGAAAATTAGCTCTATCCCAGCCGAAACCAGGACAGGGGTTGTCTGTTGTTCCTTAGTGCCTGCTCCTCTTTGATTTCCCAGGATTTATCCTCTGATTCCCCAGGAGGCTTTGAAATCAACCTGGACCACCGGAAGCTGAAAACTCCCCAGGCCAAGCTCTTCACTGTCCCCAGTGAGGCCTTGGCCATTGCAGTGGCAACAGAATGGGACTCCCAGAAAGACACCATCAAGTTCTACACCATGCACCTGGTGAGCACGGCAGGTTGGGGCATCCAGACCTCGGCGAGGCAGATCGCGGTGTGTTGGGAGCAGTCAGGTGAAGGAAGTCAGGATTAAAGACAGGGAATTGAAATGCCAGGGGGTAAAGGTGGGTTTGCCAGGCCACTGCCACCTGGCAAGGTCTTTGCCAGCTGGCAGAATGGATTCCAGAGCAAGGCTTGAGAACCGCTTTGGGATTGAGAACTGCTTTGGGGTGTAAGCCTTGTGTTGGGGTGTGTGAGACAGCAGCATCTTCTGGGAATGCTTTTTTCAGCGTCCTGCCTCTGCCAGATCTCCTGAGTACTTGCAGTAGAATTGGCATGGCTTGGTCTAAAACTGGGGTGACTGGGTAGACATGAGAACAGTCTCCAAATGCAGAACGTGGAGAGAGCAGGTTGTCCTAATGCCCATGGAATCAGGGACAAGAGATTAGGACTTTGGCTGGGCACTGAGGGCCATTAGGTACTGGCTGGGTGACTGGATAGGAAATCTGTGTCTCTGGGGGACTTGAGAAGGGGCTGGACAGTGTTACTGGACATAGCAGGAGGAAATGGGATGAGCTGTGGGAGGGCAGTCCATGAGCCCTCTCCCCTGGTGGTTGATGGGCCTGCTCCCAAGGCTTCTGAAACCAGTGAGAAGTTTCCTATTATGTGAGCCATGTTCTGGCCCTGCACCCCTTTTAGCTGCATTCCTCGGCTCTCTGTCTGCCCCAAATTCCTCTGCTTCTTGGCCTTGTGCAGTGGAAGCTGCTGCTTCCCCAAGCCTTGAATAACAGCACTTTAAACTGCCTTCATCCTGCAGACCACACTGTGCAACACGGCGCTGGACAATCCCACACAGCGAAACAAAACGCAGCTGATCCGTGCAGCTGTGAAGTTCCTGGAGACTGACACTGTCTGGTAGGAGATGGGGGTTGCAGTGTGGTTTTTGGAAGAGTGGTTGGGGGAAGTGAGGAAAATGTCTGCCGTAACCCAGTCATGGCAGGGCTCTGGTCTGTCCTGGTTTTGGCCCGAGGGTTTGAATTAGTTTAGGCCAATCCTACATCTGCAAACCTAGCCGAAGTCCATGCACCTGGAGGGCATAGGTATGAAGAAGAATGGGGATCTGGTCCTCTGTTGAACTCTATTTTGGACACCTCCATGCTGGGCAAGGGCGGGAGCAGAAGGAAATTAAGATCTCCTTGGGGAAAAGAAAGCATCTTTGAAAGGCCTGGGGGAATCTCTCAGCCCAGTCCCTGGTACTCCTATGACAGCACAGGCAGCTCTGATTACTTGTACCAGTAGCAAAATGCCCTTCATTCCTTAAAGTCTCTGTGGGCTGCAGGATCAAGCCTGTTCATGCCCAGGCTGCAGGATCATACCCAAGCTCCTGTCTCGCGGTCTCAGCCTCTGAGGTGTCCACTGGCAACTGCTCAGCTCCTGTGGGGAGAGGGCAACAGGATTCCCCCACCTGCCTCTATGGCTTTGGTCAGGCTGGCAGTGGGGAGAGCCAAGCTGAGCGAGCCGCTGGGCAAGGTGAGGCAGAGTTCCAGTGGGACACGTCCCCTGCTCTATCCACTAAACCTTGCTGCATCCTGTGGCTGGCTTGGGGCTACCTGCAATTTTCTGTTGACTGGTTTGCTGCTCTCTTTTGTAGTAAGATGGAATTGTCCTTCCCAAAACAACAAAAAGCTCTGAATTTGGGGAAGACGGAAGGGGTTGTTCCTAGTCACTGCTGCTGCTGCCTGGGTGGACAGTGGACCCTTGTTCCCCTTGCTGTGGTCTGGTGGGGGGCAGCTTCATTCGCAGAGGGGTGCCTCAGCCTGGGAGTGAACATCCCGTGTGGTTTTGTTCTGTAATGTCCCAGCTATCGTGTGGAGGAGCCAGCCGCCTTGGCAGAGCTGCAGAAGAATGAATGGGATCCTGTTGTCGCCTGGGCTGAGAAAAGGTAAGAGCTCAAAGATGTTTCTGTCTGCTTATGCCTTGCCCTGCTGAGGCCAGGAGCTCTAGTGCTTGTGACTGTTGGGAGCCGCAAGGTTCACGAGCTCTGTGCTTTTCTAAGGGGCTGGGTGATCATTGCAGGTACAACGTGGCAATTGGCTCCTCGACCAGCATCCTGGGGCCGAACATCCCAGCCAGCACCAAGGAGACCTTCATCAGCCATCTGGCATCCTACAACATGTGGGCCCTGCAAGGTGAGAGAGGCTGGGCTGGTCAACTTTAGACCTGAAATTCAAGGTCTGGCCTAGATTGGTAGCGCAGGACAAGTCTGACTTCAGTTCCATAGACCCTGTCCACACGCAGGCATCTCCATTTCCTATCAGCTTGAGCTGAACTGTGAGTGCTTAGCAGCTCAGAGTTTTGAGCCCTTCTTCCCTCCTCCTCTTCCCAGGTGTGCCTGTCTGCGGGATTTGCTCCAGTCCCTCAGTCGCCAGGCGCTCACTCTCCTCCCCTGAAGAGGGATGTCTTGCAAGCCAGAAGCTGGTGGTGTGGCAGGAAAGAGCCCAGCAGCTGTGTCCTTTGCCAACAGAGTTGTCCCAGGACACAGCCCACCACACACATTTGCACAGTGTTTTTCTAGGAGTGGTTATAGATGGGGACAGGTCTTTTAGCACCAAACAGTATCCAAGTCCCTTTCATCCTGGACTTTCATCTGAGCTCTAGAATACTCAGGCTGGATGGGTATCTCTTCCCTTTGCACAGGGCAGGTTTGTAGTAGAATAAAAGGAAGCAGTTTCCAAGGCATAGTCTTTGTCACTGCCATGGGATTGGCCAGAACAGCACTCTGTCTCTGCTGTTAACTGCAGATCTGACACTTAAGTGCCCAGACGCAAGTGGGAGGTATCACCATCCCTGAGGAGGTACCCACACCCCGACTGTCTCTTTGGAGCATGTGAAGATGCCGCTATAATGCTGCAGAAAACAACCATGAATCTTGTTTGTTTTGGGTTATTTGCTTCCAGGTATAGAATATGTAATCACCCAGCTGAAATCTCTGATTCTGTCCATGAGTCTGATTGACAGGCACATTACAGTAGAGAAAGCCGTGCTTCTGTCTCGCCTGGAGGAAGAATACCAGGTAAATGATGTTACAGAACAGCCCTATAATTCAAATAGCAATAATCTCAGCGTGACAAATGCATCTCCTACCACAAATAACTGGCAAGGGAAGTGCCTGCTATTGCAGGAGAGGTTCCACTCTGCCGATCTCCCCATTTGAGAGAGTTTGGAGTGCGCTGCTGTAGAGCAACGTCATGGGCCCGACAGCCCAGAGTGCTCTTGGGGCTGCCAGTTTGGTTTTGCAGAACCCAGACGGTTGCTTTTCTCCCTCTCTAATCTGCAGTGCAAAGTTGTGGGCTGGCTTCTCTTGCTGTGAGTTATCCAGCTTGGAGGCTGTAGTAGACACCAAGCTAATAACTTTCTTGCTGGAAACTGGCCTGACGTGAAGCTCTCCCTGACCCAAAAGTGGCTGAATTTGATGGGAATCTTTTTATCTTCAAAGGGGCTTTGCCCCAGACCTCAGCACAGATGAAGCATGTCCTTCCACCAAGCTCATCCGGAGATCTCCCTAGCCCTGCAGTCAGTGACCAGCAAAGCTCCTGGGGGGCTACCTGTGTTTCACAAACATGCAAAGGGAGGCTGAGGGTTGCTGAGCAGCTCTATGCATAATCCAGTTCCGAACTGACTTGTGTTCCTCCTCTCCTTCAGATTCAGCGGTGGGGCAGCGTGGAGTGGGCCCATGACTATGATCTGTGTGAGCTGCGTGCTCGTGCAGCAGCTGGGACTCTCTTTGTTCACCTCTGTTCGGAGAGCTCGACCGTAAAACACAAGCTGTTGCAGGACTGAGGCTGCTGGGCTGGGCGCAGGAGAAAAGTGCCCAGCTGTGAATTGCTGGTGTGACTGGGTGGACAGTAACCACCCTCCTACCACCACATCTTCCCTGGGATCAGCCTCGTGCTGAGGAACTGTGACTTTGTGGGCCACTCCTCGCTTGGGCTACCTGCCACAGTGCAGCGCTGGCAGTTTTGAGCCCGCAAGGAGGAAAGGTCAAGGTGAGCTTCCTCTGCATCCCCAAGACAGCAGCTCTGTCCATTACCAGTGTCTGTAACTCATCGGAGGAGCTCCCACGAAAGAAACGGCTTCCTGGGCAGGGCGCGGCACAGACATACCCAGCATATGCCACATGTCTTCATAGCTGCCAGCTCCTGACACACACTTGTTCTGGAAATCTGAAAACAGACTCCATTGCATCTGTTCTTCATCCCTCAGTGTGCCTGTATGTAACACCAGGGTCTCTCTGTTTGATTAAAGGCACGCCCCTGCTAGATGCTGAAAGCCAATTCTGCTGAGTATTCCTTTGTTTTAATCGCCAAACCATGGTGTAGGTCCTGAGCTGCCAGGCTCCAGGCAGGTGCTGGGATGGCTGCAGGCTGAAAAAAAAACAAACACGGAGCAGAGCTGAGCAGACACTTAACTATCAACCAGATCTGCTCCCTCCGCATCTCTGTGTGAGCCTCTGTGCCCTGTCCCTGCAGCCGAGGAGTAGCAGGGAGCTGACTGTGCAGTCTTGGAGCGTGAGGGGGAACCTGGGCTCCTGCCATCTTCCAAAGCACAGGGTATTACGAGCTAAATCTGTGTATGACAGGCAGCACCAGCCACGGGGCGCTTGGAGAGACCCCAGTCTCTCCCCAGAGGGCATATGCAGCCACCCTCTCATTTAACCTTCCCACCTTTCTCCTTGCTGCTTGCCTGGAGCAGTACCGCCCCGGCCAGCATCATTCCTCAGAAGCTGCCCACAAGTGAGCGTAGCAGCTGCTGTCACCGAGCAAGGAGGGGAATTAATGACTCCTCGCTTGGCTGTTGCGAGCGGCGGTGTGTGAGCTCCTGTGGAACCATTGATTTCCCTTCCTAGCGAGCTGGGGGCTGCTCTGTTCACGCTGCAGAAAGCTGCTTTTGCGAGAGGCAGTGAGAAGACGAGGCTCCCAGGCACGCAGAGCCCCCGCCAGCCTTGTGCTTGCTGAGCTGGAAACCCGCTGTTATCTTGGGGGTGGTTTGATGGAGAGCGCTCCTCTCCCAGGCTGCTGCCGCGTGCCTGTGGCTCACAGGTTTCCTGCCCCTGTGCCTGCAGGTACCAAAGCTTTCAGGCATGATATGCTATGATGATTTGGTTCAATCAGCTCACAGCTGATCCATAACCCCTTGTGACCAGGTCTGAGCTCTGTCTGCACGGGCTTCATGCCAACATGATGGAAGAGACAGAGCTTCATATGCTTTTCCAGAGTCAGTAAGTATCTTTTATTTGCAGTTTATGGTGGGATGGAAGGAGTATGCCTTTGGCCTGAAATGCCCCAGGCAGCTCAGCCGTAGAGAGGCAGCCGTCCCCACTGGGCTTGCTGCCACTGGGGGCTGTCCTGGTGCCCCCAGCTACGACAGATGCCCAGCCCATGGCAGACCTACTCCGTCGGCTCCAGGATCTCGATGTTATCCAGCTCCTCCTGGAGATTGTCGATGTACTGAACAATCTCTTTGACACGGTCACGGTTTCTGTCGATCTCGTTTTGGAAAGCCTGGACAGATTGAAACCAAGCAGTTGAATCAGCAGGTTTGTCAGGGTCCCTTGCTGTAGCACAGAGGGCTCCAGTAAAGGTCAGGGAGTGGCTTTCCTAGCAGTGTCCCCACCATTTGACCCAGACCTGTCTGTACCCTATCCCTCTGAGGTCTCTTACCTTCTCTGTCACGGAGGCCTGCCAGCAGTAGATGTTGTTGAGGATGTCGCTCTCTCGCTTATCAATCTTCAGCAGGTGGATGCCATGGGATGCGGTGACTGCAGTGACAATGGTGTATTTGTCCACAAGAAGCTAGGAGGTAATGTGACTGGATGAGGGGAGGGGGACTGGGCTCGCAGTGAAAGCAGCGGAGCTCGGAACTAGCAGGACAGTAGCTGCAGTGCTCGGGGGAAAAAAATCAACCCTCTGTTTCAGATTGACAAAGCCCTAGTCATCAGGGTGAATCCAGTGCTTTCCCCTTCGCAAGGAGGTGTCCGGGTCTCACTACAGTTGTAATGGAATATTATCCCTAGTACGGGTGGGGAAACTGAGGCAGCACCCTCGGCCTCACCTGCTGGAGCAGGGAGCAAATGGCTGCTGCTGAGTGCTCTGCTGCAGGCAGCGCTGCCTGGCAGCACATGGCAGGCCCCTGCGGGCAGCTGGTGTTGAAGCAAGGCTGCATATGCTCCAGCACGCCTGGCCCAGCAGGTGCGGGAAGTGGAAAATCGCGCTTGGAAGGGTCTCTTGCACCAGTGGCACTGGCTGTAAATCTTCATTTTTGGAGAGTCCCAGCTTCTAATCGAAGCAGTGACTTCCCCTGTGGCTCTAAATAGAGGGTGGCTTCGCTAAACCGTAATGACTCTCCTCCTGCAGCCAAGTGCAGCTGTTGAACAAATGAAGATTGCTTCTCCGTGGAAATGGATGGCAGCGAGGCAAAATGGGTGCACGGCAACGGTGCGTAACTGCAGCCATCTGCACAGGCCATAAAGCAGGGAGCTCCCCCGGGGGGGCTGAGGGGTCTGTTTTGTGTCTGTCAGTTCATGATTACCTGGAGTAATGGGGGGGCAGGGATAATCCGGACAGAGCAAAACCATAGCAAATGCAAAACTCGAGTCATTTAGCCACTAAATGAAGGAATAACGGAGGCAAAAAAGGTCAGTGGTGTTGCTGATGGGAGCACTGCAACGATCTTTGAGCTTTCTGAAAGGCTCCTGGGATCTTCGATATCAGAGCAAGACTGAGGGCGCAGCGGAAGGCTCTGTTTGAAATGTCACGTCCTGCCTCCATGCCAGCTCGTGGGCTGGGGAGCTCTAGGGAGGGCTTTTGAAATCACTGAGGCAAACAGAGCCCTGGTGAAAGGAAGTCAGAGCAGTGTTTGGATTCTCCTGGGGGAGCGGGGAGAATCTGAACTAAACCAGCTGCAAGTGCAGCAAAGACGCTGCCTAAGTGCCTGCTGGGTTGGGGCTGTCTGGGAATCAGCCAGAGAAGTGAGTTGTGCTGGAAGCAGGAGAGAGATTTCCTCAGCACCTCTCCTGGGCTGCTGCCACCAGCTCTGGCAGCGCCCCGGGAAACCTGCAGTGTAGTTATCCTCTGTCCTAGTCAGTGGTGTCTGTGCTCTGGTTTAGCCATCACTTCAGCTGTACTGAGCCTCCTGAAAACCCTGGCCCTTCTGAGAAGAGGTGGTGGCTTCCTCTTCTTGTCGACTCCCTAGCAGAGATGAATTTTTTTGGTGGCCTTACCATTTGAACATCATCTGGCAAATCCTCATCCAGCTCATTCTTGACTGATTTCTCCAGTGTGGTGATGGAGATCTCCAGCAGCTTTCCATGGTGACGGTTTTCCAGCTCCCGGCACTGCGTCATCGTACAGGAGATGGTTAAGGAAAAAGCTGACCACACCACTCACTTGGAGAGATTAAATGACCTCCTGTAACTCGAGCATCCATCTGCACAGCGGGCCTCTGCAGGAAAGAGCCTGGCTGCTCCAGAAGCTGCTGTGATGTCAGGATATACCCTTTCTGCTCTTAATGGCACATTGGGTCCATCCTCACTGCCACATATTATGCAGAACTGAGAGCGGGCCTAGGTTTGCAAAGGGAATTGAAGGAGGTCTCCCAGGATATAAACAAAGCTCTGAAAATGGTGCAATTATTTGCACCAGGGCAACAGATTTATGTATTTAATGTAGTGTAACCTGTCAGTGAAGCACTTTGCTGTTCTCATCTCATTTTGTTCCAGAAGCCATCAGCAACACAAAAATGAAGGCCGTTTAAAGAAACTTCAACAAGCATTGTAGGTATTTCATTGGCTGG